TTTTAAAAAAATGCTTACTGTTTTATGTATAATAGATGTATATTGATGAATATATTTGGAACATTTTATAATAACTACATCTCATTTTTTTTTATGTAAAATGGATCGGAACCATCTAATAAGGTTGATTTTGGAATGTGAGTTTTTAATTAAAGAATCTTTTTGGTATTTTTAAATAGTATTTGTAAATATTTATATTGATTATTTAGTGAAAAAAACACTAAACAGCTCACTGGGGGTAAATTGGTCATTTTAACCAGTTCTGTCATGTCTTACCAAACGCTGAACAGTTGTCATGTTCTGTCATGTCTCGTCATGTCCTGTCTGCGCACCAAACACACCCTAAATACATAAAGGTCCCACTGACACCCCACTTTAACTCTTATTTTATCCTATTTCCCTTTATATCCCTTATATATACATGCATATACACATACACATACACACACACACACACACACACACACACATATATATATATATATATATAACCAATTAGTGTTTAAGGGTTGAGTTCATGTGAGACCAAGGGTTTTTCATGAACCCCGTAAGACCAATTTATATTCATTAATCAACTTTTATAAGCTAATGATCTAATGGTCTAAAATTTTACAGTGACAATTTTATGATTATTGAGAAGTCTCGCGACAATTTTGTGATTATGAATGTTCATATTGTAGATATAATCCAAGAGTTGACAATTAGTATTACGAGTCTCACGAAAAACTCTTAGTCTCACATGATCCAAAATCTAGTGTTTGATGCTAAATGAAGAGTTAAAAATTACCAGCGATAAAACTAGAGTTACTTTTGTAGTTTTAGTTTTTAAAATGGTTATTTTTATTATTATCAAGAACCCTTCTTCAAATTTAACCAATGATTGACGATCTTTAAAATATGTAGATTTGTATAATAAAATAATCATTTGATATCATTAAAATTTTAATAAATTGACAAAAATAGTCAATTTGTTATTTTATATTGTAACATCCACTATATTATATTATATTTTATACATTTATATTCTTTATTCAGGTTTTATATAAATGTCTTATATATAACTTTATATTCAATTTAGAAAAATTATTCAAACTTGTGGAAGGATCCTTATTTGTATAAATAATTTTTTAATTTGAAAATAGATTTTATATAAATACGTAAGACATTTGCATAAATTATAATTAAAAGGGCATTGCTACCAGGGGCGTTAAATGTATTGGTTATTGAAAAAAATATTAGGCCTTTCAAATGTAATTGTTTGGTAAAAAGAAGCTAACTTATAAGTTAATTTATTTTTTGAGTACACGTTTGAATGCATATAAGCTAACTTATTTAAACGCTACTTAGAGTTATGTTTTGGAGTCACATTTTCCAAATATAACTCCTATTAATATTATTTATTATCTATTATGATTAATTATAAATAAATATTACTAATATTAATGAATACTAATTACTAATAAATATTAATTATCAATTAATTT